CTTTCTTCCACATTATCAGAAAGACCATTCGACCTTTTGGGAACTGATTTCTCTTAGCATGATAGTCTCCAGATCCATCCATTGCTTTTTAAATTTGAGACTTTTCAATTTTTAAATAAATTTCTAGGACTTAAGATACCTCTATAATTACCCTCTTCAAATTAAAAAAAAAAAAAAGCCTAACACTGCAAATAAATTGGGAAGAGATGGATAAATTTCAAAAATATATACTGCTTAATTTGAATCAACCAAAATTTGACCTTACTATATATCAAGCTTTGTATTAGGTCTATCTTAAGGTACAGTTACCAATGGTATAACTATATTTATTTTTTTAGTTAAAAAAAGTTTAACTGATAACATAAAAACAAAAAAGTTGTACATCTTAATAAGGTAACATGATGTTTTGATATATACACACACATTACATAATATTTAAATCAGGTTAAATATATCTCCTCAAGCATTATCAATGCTTTATGGTATACATTTTAATATTTATATAGGATATTTTATGCCAACAAAATTTGTTTAATATACTCTTGCCTTCTACAAAAGCAAGTGTGAACCATCGATGCCGATTAATCTCCCAATATAAAAAATTCTAATTGTTAAGACTTCTTCCTTCCTACAACTATCTCTAAAATCTATCAATTCCTTACATGAATTACATATCCTCCCTAGGAAAAAATCACTAAGCCCTGGTACTGCCATCAATCTCAAATCCCTATTTTCAATGCCATTCCATCCCATACTCACTAATAACAACTCTATTATCTCTTCCACTGGACCAGTACAAACTCCCCATACATCCTCCATCTATTCCCAAACATTCCTCCTGCTACTTTGGCTTCAGTAAAATCCCAAAGCCCCTAAAAGCACTATTTTTTAGTAATCATTTCTTAAAAAACGTGCTACTTGCTGGGTGTGGTTATTAGAGTCTGTATCAATGTACACAAGTTGCTCGTCACCCCCCGGTTATTTTGCTGCCTCCAGCCTGCGGCATGTGGTGAAGCATGTCAATAATCACAGTAAGTTGAGAGACTGAGGCAAGGCGATTGCAAGCTTGAGGCCAGCCTCAGCAACTCAATGAGACCCTGCCTATAAATAAAAAACAAAAAGTACTGGGGATGTAGTTCAGTGGTAAAGTGCCCCTTGTTCTGATCCCAGTAATAAGACAAAACAAAGATGCTATTTTTCCTATTCTCCTAAAAGGATACTATTTGCAGACTATTCTTATTTAATGTTTAACTTTTCCTTTTAAAAAATTATTCATAAAAAATGCCTCTCCTCTTGTCTTGGACACCATTTCCTATTATCTTACCCAAGGCACTTTTCTTAATAACAACTGGCTCCTAGTTTTAGTCTCCTGTGTTCATGAATTGTACATCTACAATACTTTTTCTAGATTCTGGCCTCAATATCAATGTCCATCTTATCTTCTCTATTCCAATACCTTTTCATCCTGAATTGGTAATTTATTCAGAGAAATTCTGAATAAATTCCTTTCTGTTCATAAATTCTCTCATATTTTTTCTCACTGCCTCATTTCTGTTAACCTTGCTCTTGGCTCTCCCCCAAATGCTTTCTAGTCCCTTGATCTTTTTTTCTCTCTCAATGTATTAATCTGGTTTCCTTACCCAAACACAAATGCAAGTAAATGCATTCTAAAAACATCTTGCTAGCTTCATCAACTTTCTCTTCTATTTTCTCATTTTGATAACTCTAGATAAGCCCACTACCTACTTTGTTGCTTCTACCCTCAAATTCTCAAACAGTGAGGAAATAATAATGACATTGGTTGTGCCCACTATTAAGGTACACTATATTCTATACATATACACTTTACCATGAGGTAAAGCACTTTGACTGTTTTGTACACTGTCTTATCTCCAGTATTTTATGGTCATTACATAGTACACCAGAGCATTCAACTAGATTTATAAAATAAATATAGTCTATGTTTCTCCTGTTTAGTTTCACACAAAATTCACTAGTGTAATCATTCTAAACCCTTTGCTTTTTTCAAGTCTCAAAACCATTTACTTCAAAAGGCTACATCCCCTATTAAGAAAATGAAAGTTGGGGTCAGAGGTAGAGCACTCGCCTACCACATGAGAGCACCACATGAAATTAATTAATTAATTAAAGGTATATAAAAAAGAGAAAATTTCTTCCAATGTGAATTAACTTGATTATTATCATTATTTTTATTTCTTTTATCTATCTTCCCTAATGTGCTAAAAGGAAAATTAATTTTATAATTCTTTTTATTTCACTAAATGCCTATTACATAGCAAGCATCTGTTAAAACCTGTGACACACTCACATCTAACCATTTTTCTTGTCCTATTCTGTTATAGTCTTCCAGGAAAAAAGCGAAACAAAACAAATACACACTCTGAGAATTATAATGAAGATATAAATCAACTACCAATTTGTATTTCTACACAGCAGTCTCATAGGGAAGCTGAAAATCTGTTGCTTTCATAGAAAGCAAGAATATAGTAAACAAATTTTGAAAATAGGCTTTTTAAAAATCTTAACAGTAGAATTAAATTCATATTCTGAGATATTTTTAAAGACCAATTATTTCTAAAGTGGTTTTGACATAATTTCTTCTGATCTTCAACCTTTAGTCATTTAAATTCCAAAGTGCCCTTAACTTTCCCTGAATGAACTTTCCCTAGTAATGACTTAACATGTTTCAATGCACTAGGCACAAAAAATTCATGTTAAAAGTAATTTTAAACAACTAAAAGAATTTCAATAACAAGTATAACAAACTTAAAAAACAGTTTTATGAATAAAAGATAAAACCAATTAGCAGACTGTGGAAGGACATTTCAGATTAAATGGATTTTGAAAGAGGTTATACTAATAGTTGTCATACAATAAATTTGAACTCACATGGTCTGAGGAAATTCTGTGAAATTTGAGAAGATACTTCACAAACCATTCTAGTTATTTAGTTATTAGGAATAGTATGGAAGGCTGGCCAAAATAATATGCCAAAAAGCAGAGCAAACAAGGCAGCAGCCCCAGAATGTTTGTACAGCCCTCAATCATACACTGGATACCAGTCTCCATCATAAAGTGTTCAGCTATAATACAAAGGAAAATAATATAATGTCAAATTACCTATTTAGAAACAAGTTTTGCAGCTCAGAAACAGCTCCTTTTCTGCTTCACACTTTAAAGTTGTTGTCTGCATAAGATAAAAAAAATCACTTCAGTAAATTCTAACACTGTGAAGCAGAGAATAATAAATATTACATTTGTGGTCTAAAATATATTTAGGAAATCAACAAAGAATAAAAATATAATTTATCTGTATTTTTAAGCTTAAGCTACCTTAACTCTTTTGGAAAACAGTGCATTTAAATGTTAAAATTCCCCAAACCTATAACACCCTACCAAACTGTAAAATGATATCTTAACATCTATTTTGTAATAGTAATAAAAACAGCTAACTCCTATTATCATTGAAAAATCCATGAGAAAGTTGATTCTGATTGATCAAGTCATTAACTTTCTATCACTATTCAAGAACTTTGGTCATACGATGATGAAAAATGCAAGGCTAGCTCCTTCATAACAAAATAATCCTGTCTCTATGTAAACACAAAGTGTACCTTCAGTTTAAAAATTCAGTATTATAACGGCATCCAGTTGCCCGCACCAGGAAGGTGATAGGGAGAGAAAGGAGCAGGTGCAACACCCACTCGGGTAACCAGAGAATACCCGAAGGCGGGGTCTGGAAAGCGGTTAAGGGGCGGAGATGAAGTGGGCGCCCAGAAAGCCCGCTTTCCAAAGCCAAAACAAGATCCCCACAGTTCAACCGACCCAAACCTCAAACCGTCCAGAAAAAAAAAAAAAAAATCCTAACAAGGTGAGCTGCGGGATGTTGGGCTGCGGGATGAAAAGTGAGCTCTACTGTCCCCCCCACCAATGGGGCCAAATACCTAAACCCTAAACGCCAGTTTCTGCAAAGTAAGCAAGGTTTCCCAAATCCCACTCATCATTTCATTTCCCCAAATTCTTGACCCTAACTAGATCTGCAAAAGGGATGGGGAACAGGGGCAACGGGAGGAGTGGGAGGGAGAGAGCGCTATTAAATCAACATTCCCTTCGCAAGTAATAAACCACCTCTGGTCCAAAGTCAGGAATGCCGACCCTCGCTCGGTTCCTTTCAGAATACTAGAGAGCAGAAATCCGGCTGCTCACAGGCCAACCCAACCCTGTAAGGGTCACGACGCTCCTCGTCTGCCCTTCTCCACCCAGGAGCCTGGACGTCCATAGCCCCACAGAATGGAATTTGGGGGGGGGGGTGGAGTAGGAGGAAGCACGATGAAGGGGCTTCCAGCCACCAAGGCCTTCCTTTGAGAGCTCGACTCCGACACCCAAACGACAGCCCTCGCTCTTCTGTCTCCACCCGTAAGGGGGCATTCCTGGGGCACCCCAGAAGCGGGGTGACATCCTCCCCAAGTCTACGACAAGAGAGACGGGGAGTCTGCAGTCGCCAACGCGTCCCCAGAAGCTCACCTCGGAGATCGCGGCGATCGGTCCGGGGGAGGGGCGGACTGTCTGCCTAGGGGACGAAAAAGAGGCAGCAAAAAGTCTCAGGAGACACCGAGGAGGCGTGGGTCCCAGGTCGGGCCCAACAGGGTCAAGCGTCCCAGAGCCGTTGCTCTCCCGCCCCTGCGGCGCGCAGTCCTCGGTTGCCAGGGACCGGGAACGCGGAGGCTTTACCTGTAAACGAAGCAGCCGCTCCTGCCAAGGGTGCAGCGGCGGTCAGCCCCCACGACCCGCCACTGGCAGCGTTCCTCCCTTAGAGACCACAGCAGGGAGGTCCACAAGTTCCCTGACTGCCTAGAGCCCAATGGCCGCCTTTCTACTTTAGGTACTCGGCGCCAACCGCCGCAGCCACCGCCATCTTAGGACCTCATTGTGGTGGGAGAAGCGGGGCGGGGGGACTGCAGAGGGGGCAACGCGAGGCGAGACATGCGCCGTCACCTCGGAAACGGCCGCGCGGGGGCGAGAACTCGCCGGGGCGGGAGCCGCAATGCGATCTCAGTAAGCGCTAGACTCGAGTCACGTGACCCGCCAGCGTCTACCCTGTCCTCTGGCCTTTAGTCAGAACAGATTACACAAACGAACAACCAGAGACTACGTAACCCAGAATGCAAACTCGGTCCCGGGTTATAAATTCCCTTCCGCTTTAGGGAGAGAGACTACAAATCCCAGCAGTCTGTGCGCTTCCAGGACGAGGCCTGTGCGGAAGTGGATTGGCCCCTCCGGACCCTGGAGATAGAGCGTGAGGCGGGGCTAGTTTTCTGTGGGGGTGTCAGCTCCAGGTGGTGCCCCAAGGAGGAAGAAAGACTGAGGTCGCACTTTCTTTCTTACCCAGAAACTGGTCGCGAAGGGAAGGAAACAAAACAGCCCTGACGATCTTATCTAACCCCCTAATGTTAACGTGAGGAAATAAATCCTCGGAAATTAGTTTGCCACACCTTATATATACCTAGTCGGTGGGAGAATCATAAATATTGTTAATAATGAATACTATTTTAGAATCACGTCCTGCTTTTTCCTTAGAAGAAAAAGATATCTTTAATCAGAGTTTAATCTCTGGAAACTTTCTCATAACCTGTAGCCTTTGAATTCCTTTTATTTGTACCCTTCTGTTAACAGCTCTATTAAGATTAACAAATTGACGGATTATCTCTTTAAAAACAAATTCGATAAAGGAGGAGAACTTCTTAAGTTAAAAACAATTGTCAATTTTAGTTGAGTGCAAAGGCATTCTAGCTTTAGACAGTTTATATTATGGGATAACTTTTTTTTTAATGCAAAATAAAAGTAAGAATGGGCTTCCGGTTTCCAACAATAATTCGTTCTCAGTGACCTACAGAAATTTTTTCAAAACCAATTAGTAGAACTACATCTCAGAACACAATTCAAAAAAAGCTCTTCCAAGCCACTGCGATTTTCTACTGCATCCGAGTTCAGTCATCAGGGCCAGAATGATCACTGATGCTATTCATTTATCTTACTTTAAAAAATTTTGTTGTTGTTTCTAATATTGCTAAGTGCAGAGATTAAAAAAAAAACTGGCGTTGAACTAATATTTTATTGAAGGATGGGGAAATGATGGAGTTTAATGTAGGTAATTTGTGTTGTAAGAAAAGTGCTGTGAGAGCGCAGGTCAGAAAGCAACCAATTGTCTAGATGTTAATTGGAATCCAGAATGCTGTATCCTACTTTTATCGCTCTGAGATCTTGGGCAAGTTACTTAGCCTTTTTAAGCCTCAATTGCTCCATCTATGAAATGAGGGAAAGGGAATAATATTGCCTATTTCGAAGGATTTAAACACTTTTATTCTTAGTGTTTATTTTATACCAGGTAGTGATTTTCTTAATTCATTACTATGATTTTCTTAATTCTCACAAAATCCCTGAAGAGGTTGGTTTTGCATAGGACCCATTTTACAAATAAGAAGTAAAATAAAGTTCTGACAGAACCTTGTAGTATAAACTAGATTTAAACTGAGGTATAACTGATTCCTTGGAGGAACTTATTGTTGTTAAGACAGAAAAGGCAGCCAGCTAGGTGTGGTGGCACAGGTCTCCAATCCCAGTGGCTTGGGAGGCTAAAGCAGGTGGATTGCAAATTTGAGGCCAGCCTCAGCAACTTAGTGAGGGCCTAGTAACTTAGACCCTCTCAAAATAAAAATATAAAAAGGGCTGGGAATGTGGCTCTGTGGATTAAATGCCCCTGGGTTGAATCCCCAGTACCAAAAAAGGGAGGGCGGATAAAAAAAAAGTATTAACACATGGCAAAGCCCCCAAACATTACTATCCTCATCATTTTGTTATATATGTTACCAAAGCAAATGAAAAGAAAAAGAAATGGAGACAGACCTCAAGAGTCTGAATTTTATAGGGTTTAGCAGGGCCACCTTAGGGAAGGAGTTTGTCAGATACTTTTGGCAGGCAGGGGAACTTTGGCAGATAAGGAAAATCAGAGTCAGAGTCCTCACCCCCTCCAACACCCCACCCCTGTTAAGTTTCCACCTATATATATAATTTTTAAATGTATGTAGAAACTATTGCCACTAAGATTTTTAAATTTATGGAATGTCAATACTATACTGTTAGTGGTGGGAAGAATTTGAAAATTTCTTAAATTAAAAACAAATCCTTGGGCTGGGGTTGTGGCTCAGTGGTAGAGCACTTGCCTAGCACATGTGAGTCCCTGGGTTCTATCCTCAGCACCACATAAAAAATAAATAGAATATTTATTATGTATTGTGTCCAACTACAACTAAAAAATAAATATTAAAAATACAAACAAACAAAAAACAGATCCTTAGGCAGGCACAGTGTTAAACATCTGCAATCCCAGCTACTCAGGAAATTGAGGCAGGAGGAACTCAAGTTGAAGACCAGCTGGTGCGATATAGCAAGGCTTGCCTCAAATAAAAATTTTAAAAAGGGTTGGGGATGTAGCTCAGCTATAGACTGCTTGCCTACTACGTGCAAGGCCCTAGGTTCTATTCTCAGTATCACAAAAACAAAGGGAAAGGGTTCTTAAACTCAAATATGGGCATTACTGAAATTTATAGGGGAAAAAGTAAAGAAAAATCAGAGAAACTATAAAATTAACAGTAACTTCCAAAAGTTTAATGTTTAATCTAAAAAGCAAACCCTATGGCAATGAATCAATTTTGTATCAGTTGTGCATGACTATGTCAAATAAATGTTATAGGCAGAAAGTGCTTTAGTAATTCAGAATAAAATAGGGATATATTGTCTCAGAAATTATGATAGCTCCAAAATTTCTATATAGGATGAAATTCGGGACAGAAATATGTGAAAATATCTCTCGGAAATAGAAGAGTTGCCTCTAAGAGATATATATATATGTTGAAACCACATTTCAATTGTCCTCATTTAGACAGTTTAACATGTGTTAAGATGTAGAGTATAAATGACAGATTGAGGTTCAAGGAAACATGACACTCCACAAACTCAGATAACACATCAAAAATGAGCACTAGACAACACAGGAACCAGACTAAGTGAAGAAAAGCATTCGTGTAGAATGAAGGGTGGGGATGTAGGAGAAGGCAAGATTGATGAAGAGGTTGGAGCCAGGCTATAGAAAACCTGAACTTCTGCTCTGGAGAGTTTGGGTTTTGTTTTGCAGTCAGTGTGAAACCACTAAAGATTTTGGAAAGAAGGAAATGATGTAATGAAATGGTTAAGACTTCAATCTAGTAGCAACGTTTAGCCCAGACCAGAAAGAAAAGTAAAGGTAGAGACAAAAGGGAGCAGGTATGAAGTAAGAAAGGCTTGGCATTAGGTAATAACAGGATAAATTAAACAAGGAATTTGGATTTTTTTTAACATAAACAATATTGTTGTAATGCATAAAATACCATTTGTTTCTGTTATTTAGTAGGACACTGATCAGGTGGTTCTTATAACATTTTGTATTACGTTGTTTATTTTTATGTTGTTATATTTTGTAATGTTCTTTATTCACAGACTGTAATCATGGCTTTAGCAGAAACTATGCCTTTGTACTTCTTCATATCCCCCAGTTCTTTTATTTTGATTTTCATTAATTTGGGCTTTGAAACAAACAGTTTTATGCAATTCCTGTTTTCAACCTGCAGGTGGTGATAGAACTTAAAGGAAAAATTTTCAGTGACTATATTAACTTAAATTATATCATTGTTTTTTATGTGATTTTTGATACCCCCCAAAATATATGTCAAATTTGTAAATTATAAGGTAAAATAATAATAACACTCAAGAACCCACCAGGTCACCTAACACATAGAATTTAATATGTTAAGGGACTTCTCATTCTTTTCTCCAAACTCATTTCTCTGTAGACATAAAAAAGTACTAACCTGAATTCAATGTTATCATTCTCTCATTTTCCTCATATAACTATGGATGTTCACCAAAATATTGCTTATTTTTCTTGTTTTTAAACTTTATGTAAATGGTATCATACTGGATATATTTTTATATGACTACTCTTGGTCCAAAATATCTTTCTGGGGCTGGGGATGTGGCTCAAGCGGTAGCGCGCTCGCCTGACATGCGTGCGGCCCTGGTTCGATCCTCAGCACCGCATGCCAACGGAGATGTTGTGTCCAGGAGAACTAAACAATAAAACATTAAAAATTCTCTCTCTCTCTCTCTCTCCTCTCTCTCCTCTCTCACTCTCTCTTTAAAAAAAAAAATATCTGAGATTCATCCATGTTGATGGATGGGAACATATTTATATATTTTGAGATATATCTAAAAGAATGTAACAGGATTTTAACTTAATTGAGTGGGTAACTTAATGAAAAAATAGTTGGTCATGCCAAAGAAGGGACTAGTTGAAGACCTTTAGCCTAGCTTGTATATCTTTTGGTTAAATTTAAGCATTATTTCTTCTCTTCTTTTATCTGTCCTTGACAATATTGGCATTTGGGGAAGGATGATTCTTCTTCTTGGGGATTGTCCTGTGCATTGCAGGATATTTAGCAGTGTCCCTGGCCTCTATCCACTAGATTCCTCTAGCAACCCCCATTCCCAGTTAAGAAAGCCAAGAAATGTCTCCTGGCATTGGTTGTCAAGTGTTCCTTGAAGTTGCAGGGAAGAGAGAAAAATCATTCCCACTTGAGAAACACTGATCTGATCTTTGCATTAATAAAACTACATTAATTATGATTTTTTATATAAATCTTTTGCTCAAAAACTTGAAGTTAACATACATAATGAAATCAATTGTATAATCATATCAGCTAATTATATCAAATTCACACGTGTAAGTAATGTTTCAAGGCTCTTATTGCTTTCCCCCATTTTCCTATATCTAGTTACCATGACATCTCTCATTACCGCCTAGTTCAGATCTTCATTACTAAATAGAAAAATACCTAATTGCTGTTTTCAATATACAGTATTTAGTGTCTACACCAATCTGAACTGTCTCTTTCTTCAGAAACAATTTATGTTCTTTTCTTTCAAAAAGCATTCACTCAACAAATGAAATTCTTGTAATTCTGGTAACTCCATCCACATTTGTATTTCACCAGTCTTGATGGCTTTAATTCTACAAAGCTATAATTATGACACACTTCTTATATTTCTTTTGCATGTATTCTTGGGGGTTTATATGTCTTTACCTTCTAATCCCTATTCATTGTAAACTGGTCAGGGTTGGGATAGTATAATCCTCTGTAGGACATAGCAAGTTGGAGGGATTATGAGTAGCAGTAAATAAAAAGTCTACAATAAAAATATATT